TCTAACTCAAGGAGGGGGATTAAAAGAGACTTTAGGAATCTATAGAGAGTTGGTTAACCCCTATGCTCATATAATAAACAGTTGAATCTAAGTAGGATCAAGTTGAAATTAGTATGATAGGCATGAACCTTAGCAAAAGAACCTAACTAAAGTTAAGGCAAAGGTGGTCAAATAAACAAAGTAAGCTAGCAAATTGAAAAATAAAAATTTATAACTTACAACTATATGTTCAATTTTTTAGTAGCCCAAGGCCCTAAAACTCATATCCTATTCCATTATCCTTGGCATATGTGTCAAAGGGTTAAAATTCTGCTATATGGTTATCTTATGGTAAATTACTATATGGTATAGAGTCAAAACTATGTGCATTACAAATATATATCATATAATAACAAATTAGACTAACTATATATTTGTGTTGATCTACCATCTCTTTCTTTGATATTTGAAGTTGTATTGTTAGGAAAAATTGATCATTTTGCCTAAGAGAAATAATTATTTAAGTCCTTTTATATTTTCTCTACAAGATCATTGTGATCACTCCTATTTTGTAATTGTAAAATAGACTTTGAAGGTTGTATGAAATAACACACTTAGATAGCTATATTTAATAAATTTCTAACCTCTAGAAATTTTCTCAAACACTTTAGTTTTGCATAATTGTTTTGTGTTTCTTAGACATATATAGATTTGTCCTCAATAGTATTTAATGGCACTTAAGAAAGAAGTTATTAGTACTTTTTGCAATATAACTCCCTCACATATTTAGTTATTTTGGCTGCATTGAATTGCATATCTCACTACATTTATATAAAAGTTATAAAGTATTATACAAATGCTTTAATTATATTGTATTCTAAATGTTGGTTTTGAAATGTTTGGAGTGAGTTCTAGGTCCCCAATTCCAATCTCAAATGTACCTTTGAAAACTTTTTTTTGAATGGATTGCATAGTATTGGGAAATGATTAAAGTATAGCAATGGAAAAACAATTTACTAAGTCTTTTGTAGTATTGCAAATATGACTCTAAGTATCATATGTTAAATCTTTCAAATATTCTATCTTTATTGCCACAATGGAAAAAAATCAATATTGCCAATTCCTTTTGTTAGTTGTTTTTGTTCAAATGTTACTAAATTAGATTTAACATTTGAGCCAAATAAGCATATAATAAGAACTCATATGTATTTCTTATTGAGTATACCTAGCCCAATTTTTAGTTCTTATTTGTTTTGTCTTGCATTAGCTTGATAAAATCTTTTTTATATTGAGCACTAGTCCCTCAATATCACTATATAATAGCTTATCATATCCACTAGACACTCTTGCTATTATATATTGGTCTCAATTTGGTTGTTTTAGCTATTTATAAAAGGTGTTTAGATCTACTAGATATTTACTTTCTTGATATTGAATTTCTTGAATCACTCATATTTTTATATAACATTATAAATTTTTATCCAAACAAACCAATATAACCACATATAAATAACTCTACCAAAAGTTAGTGGCTTTAATTCCAAAACTCATTTTTCCAATTAATTCATCTTACATTCTACTCACAAATATTAAAATAAACATAGAGAAAGTAAAATTCTCATAAGTAGCCATATTTATCAACTTTGGATTGTTAATACAAACTTGCCACTAAGTGTTAAAGTCCACTTCCTTCAATGCCCATGTACCCTTAGTATATTCAATTTTTGTAGGACCTAGAAATCCTCCAATAATAAAAAACTTATTAAAAATAATATAAAATATAACTTTGTGCCATTAGTTCACAATCAAGATTGAAGTTTACATTGAACCCAAAGGTGCCAAACTCTTCTTGTTGAGGAGGAAGTATGAAATGCCTTTATAGTTACAATTGTTGGAAGTGCAACACTCGGCCTTTCACCCACACCATTTAATAGTCTATTATTAATTTTAAAATGTTTGCTAAAATTATTTCTTTGTAATATGGTTGATTACTAAAGTATTCTTCTGATTTTACGTGCCACTAGGTTCATTGCCACACAGTGGGGGCTAAGCAAAGCACCTCCCTTTGGCTACTTGGAGATTCTAAGTAGATGGGTTTCATTTGAAATGTTTTATTTTAATTATTATGACTTAATGATATTTCCTTATGTAGACAAAGCTTTAACACTACACATGCAACACATAGCTCTTCCTCCTTATCAGGAAATTAAGCAAAACATCATTTATAAATGAAAATTTTTTAAGATCAAAATCATCTAAATCACCTTACCCTTCCATAAGGTTATTTACCAAACTTACATCACCACTAGATTAATATAGTTTCACTAACATTTAAATGTGCTAGATTGTTATACCAAAGGTAGTGAATTCCTTAAAATATTTTATTACATGAATATTCTAGAGGAATAAGGGATATTTTAAGAAAGGGGTATATTCACCTTTTATGGATATTAAGAAGGATGAAAGTTCTCAAGTTTAAGTATATATCCACTATTGGGAGTTGGTGATTTCACTAGAAAATATTATTTTACCCAAGATCAAACAATTCACAACATTTTTCTCTTGCAATCTTTTATTTAAAGTGAGAGAAATTTATAGCTTCACATAATTTTATGAAAAAAAATTTATTTTTATGGCTAAATAGATCTTGACAAAATATTTTTAATGAGTTAGAAAATACAATTTTAGGCTTTGATAACCATCCCTAATATATAATTAATTGCATTATCCCTTGAGAAACTCTTGAGTATGAAGTTCCTCATTACCCTTAAAGCTCTACTTTGCTACTCCTACTGCTTAAATATCCTTAACCTTTATACATATATTCTATGTGGATAGTATTTATAATATATAAAGTCATTTAATAATGAATTAAATTAATTATATCTTTATTTACTAATACAATTAACATAGTTTGGTAATGGTTAAGCATTCTATATGATTCTATTTAAATTTTTCATTCTAATTAATCACTTAACTACACTTTTGCACTTGAAGGAGTCTCAATCACAACCTTTATGCAACTTACAACCCAAAAATGGCCTAAGGCCACACTAATTTTGCACTTTGGTCCAAGTACTCTATATATCTAATTCCTATTTTTGCTATCCAAAAGTGACACCGAGATATTAACCTTTTATACTAACATAATGTCTATTCTCATCATTTTACTAATAGTTCAAGACTATTTGTATCATTGTTGAGACCTTTCAACGGTGGAGAGAACACTTTTTCATGCTTTGAAAATAAAGCTCAACCATATCTTTAAATGAAATTCCTCTAAATTAGTAATGGGGGAGAAAGGGGTATATACCCCCTCTCCCAAAATATTTTTAATGCCCTCAGACAATTTTAATAGTGGAATAGTTTAGAGAATCTTGTTTAAAGGATATGCATATCCTAATAGGTGACCACAAGGAATCATATCAGACTCTATCACACGTAAAAACTCACAACTAAATTGCTGTTGAAAGCTCTAATGTAATATCTTCTATCAACTATATAAGAAAGAAAACCAAAGATAAAACAAAGAAAATAAAAGTGGGAAAAGAAGTTTTAGTGTTCTAGGATCAAGAAACCACATAGGGAAAACTTGATTATAGAACTAAGAACTCAACCTAAGAAAAATTGTGGAAAGAAGAAAAAATAATGAATAATTAAGAAAAACAAAGAAAAAGGAGTAAGAATCCAAGAGGAAACAAAGCGGTAACCTAGACTCTAGCCTCTAAAGTCTCCAAACCTCTCAAAAGTTCCTTAAACACAATTTAAGTTTGCTCCCAAAGTTCCAAAGAAAGTGGAAGAGAAATGAATGTGTTGCCTAGTTTGGGATATGTGGTGGAACAGAAAAATTGCAATCATAGTGACAAATGATGGGTGGAATGGTTACCAAACTTGAATAGACTGGTAATGGAAGGAATCTTGCAATATGTGGATGATCATTAGTAGCTTATATAGCAATCATTGCAAAAGAAAATGTTTGCAACTAGTGCCAATTTTAGATCATTGTATCTTATTGTATCTATATGAGTTTAGGAAATACTGTTTGCCTATGTTTAGCTTCGTACTACAGTTAAGGACTTTTGGCTAGTCAAAATTAACTTTTAGTGTCTAGTATTTGCCAAGAGTGTGTTTTATCGATTAAGTTCATTCCATATCTTGAGTTACATAGGTCAGGAGGGTTGCTTCTTATTGCATCTACTACATATGAGTATAGTAGATAATGTTATGTAAAGATGTCCCAAAATGGAGGTGTTTATGGTAAGATAAGTGGAGAAAAGTGATTTAGACAAATATAGTAAGTGATGGATAAAGCTGTAGCAAATGGAAAATGGACTAAATAGTGGCTATGAGTAGACTAGAGTGATGGTGATGAGGTGTGGATTAATTTGATGTAGAGAAGAGTCTAAAAACTATAGGAGGGAAAGAATGACCTTTCAGATGATTGAAATTGATGCCACCTCAAGATTGAAATCCAAGCTTGAGTTTGCCACTGCAAGGATATAAGTCTTGAAAGGCAAGTAGAAATCGAGTTAGAAGGGAATCCATTTTGGATATATCCATTACAATTCCTTGCTATGCAAAATGAGATGGACAATCCATTTATCAAAGAGTGAAAGTAAAGAAATAAAGAAAAGTGAAAAGAACTCAATATTAGAAAAGTTGTACTGATGCTAAGAGCTGTTTAATATCATTGTGCTATAATATACTCAAGGTGGGCAAAAAGTGTTTTGAAGGAGGCCCAAAGATGGTAGTGAAGCTGGCTATGTCACCCTCTAAAGTTGGATGTCATCTTAATGCATTAAGGTGGATTGCTATAGCCTCGAGTGAACTCTGTTCGTGTCATGAGGTTGAGAGCTTTTATATGCCGGGATAGAGTGCCTCCAAAGTTGAAAAACACCTAAGTCATCATGAATTTACTGGACGAGTTCCATAGTGTTATCTGCAAAAGAGGCCACAATTGTGTTGAGTGATGCTTCAGCTGGGATCTTGTGGTTTCAGTGGGTTAGTATCACCTTTAAGTGCTAGAAGGGAAAATTGAGTTACTGTAGGAATGAATTTGCCACTATTGCCACCTTGTATGTAGTGATATACATATATCTACATTTGATACATGTGTCTCATTTGACTACTTCATATGACTGTTAAGGACCTTGGGAGAGGCCTCCAAAAAGCCTAGAAAGGTGTCAAAGCTTAAAACAAGCTTTGAATCATTGCTGAGGTGTTTCTTTTGAAGCATTTGCCAAAATTAAAACAATTTATATGTAGAGTTGTTAATCAATTTTCTCCATTCTAAATTGTTTGACGAACTTGTCAATCATTGTAGACAAGATTCATTTGGAAACAAGAAAGATGTCTAATCTACCACTCTTGTTTTCAAGGATCTCAAGAATAATTCTTGGGACAAAGCATCTTCAATGATCTTGTTGTATCTTAAGTAAGTTTGAAATTGATTAATGTGATTGCAAGCCAAAATACTTAATCCAAGATAGAACTTTAGAAGATCCATTGCTCCATAAAGAATATGAATAATTACCACCATTGGTGTAATGTTTTAATTGTGCTCTTCTTTGGAATCTATTATAAATGATAAAGACTCATTTACCAACAACATTGTCTAGTAGTTAAGGTAGCATATAAGCCTTGAGAATTCCTCTATGTGTGTCCTAAGAGGAGTTTATATAGTAACAACACTTGAACAATGCATATGAATAGACATTAAACTTCTAAAATGTGCCAAATGTGAAAGCTAAGTATATACTATGATGTTAGTCTAGAGGTTGGAGAGCTCAATCACAAGGTTTTATTCTTGCTAGACACTCAAGGATTTTAAAATCACTCTTTATAACACTTTATAGTCTCTTATACACTCACTATATATTAGATATTGTTCTCCATTCAAGTAAAAGTTTTTTAATCAAAAAGAGATGATTAAACATGAGACATCAAATAGCTATATATACTCTAGGGCACTAAAATAAACTATAAGATGATACAAGAGATAAATATATAAAGAAAATCTTTCAAACTTTTAAAAATTCCTTATAAGCATAAACCAACAAAAAGCTTTTAAAAAGGACCCTTAAATTTTTGTACACTACTCTAAAAATCATGAAACCAAACTCTAAAAACATGTATAAAATCTTTGTAAAAAACTAAACCTAAAAATCTCACTTAAATACACTCAAAAGACTCACTTAAACTAACAAACACATATTCGAATAAAAAAATATAAAGATCTTGTAGCTGCCAATTCCTAAAATCTTGTTTTAGCACTTGTTGAAAAACTTTATCTAAGATTTATCTAGCCATGTAATAAAAATCTAAATGCATAACTTAGAATTGCGTGAGAATGCCCTAAACTTTTCTTACACGAACCCAAGCCAAAAGCTTTATTAATTGCTTGATCTTGGACTAAAAAGTCACATGCAAGGACTTTAAAAAAAGTCTACAAATAAATCTATCTGACAAGTTAAAGAAAGATTAAAATGGTTAAAATTAGAGTTAGCTTTTAAATACTTCACCAATTTACTCTACTTATCTATTAATCCATCAATATTTAGACTCTCTAATACTTATATTATCACCCATTATATAAGTATAATCTACACTGGTTTTCCCCCTTTTATTATTCCATATAAATTTACCAAAACCCCCAGTCAAGTGAGATAGTTTTGACGGGATCTTGTGCTCCATCGGGATACAGAAGATTATTTTTGAGATTTCCACCGAAAATAAAACAAGAGAAGACGAGAAGTTCTTACCATGGAGTTCCAGGGGACGTAGAAGTCAGCTGCAAAGTAAAACATAGCATGCCTGCCACAGCTCCAACAATCTCTAAATCTGCCATGAAAAACCGTCATAGAAACCAGCGTTTGCGCGGCACGTTTCTTACTTGGAGGTACTCAAAGAGTGTAGTGAACTCGAGCTTCAAGAGCTTCTTCAGGAGCACCGCCTGTTTTGATTCTTAAGAACTCAAGAAGAGAAACAAGAACTCAGAATGATGTCCTGTGACTGCCCGAGTCACAGCATCAAACCATTTTTCTCGTGCTGCGAAGCGGGAGTTAAACTCTCGAAGAAATAAAAGGCAGATTTCGCTTACCCAGGGATTATCCGGCAGCGAGCGGCAAAATGGCTGCATAGATCCTCTAAAAAGTATTTCATGAAAGTAGCATCACCATTTGCAAAAGAAAAAACAGAGTGCTGCTTGCCTCCCATGAAGGAAAATCACAGCAACTTGCTGCAAAAAATAAAATAAAATAAAATAATCATAAAAGAAGAATGAGTAGAAAGAATAACGGGCTGCTCCTCGACTCCCCAAGCTGAAATTGTCAATGACCCTAACGCATCGTCGCTCCAAGGGCACGGTCGTGCCCCCGGATGTAACAATGGCAATGCGCGTCGTCTAGAATCACACGATTGCATGGCGTGGAAGAGCTCCAAATGCCCGTGACGGGAAAATGCTGCAATTGCGCAAGTGCACGAGACGACATCGTGCTCCGGCATCTCTTTAAAAGTGCTTTCTACATCCGCGAGCTGAGATAAAGCCCCCAGCATCATCGTCCACGAGACCAAGTTGTGAGCAGGCATTTTGCTAAAGACTACCTTGGCAGAATCAAGATGCCCATTTTCGGCAAATGCAAAAAGCACCGCGTTTATAGTAACAGATTGTATTCCTTGCATTTTGCTTCTCTTGGAGTCAACAGAAATCATAGTAGTAAATGACACGAGGCTCCAGCACGGCATGCAGCTGAAGAGCCTTCGCGCTTCATCAAAATGCCCGTTTTTGCAGAACAGCAAAAGATCCCAGCTGAACTTGTCTACCATGGAAGATTTGAGCTGCGTGTTTGATGTTACCACATCTACCGTGCATTTCAATTTGCTTGTTCAGGTCGAAAACACTGCTTAGATATGAATTTCTAAAACACTCCATGAGAGAAATTATTATTTACTATTTGATGGAACTGAGCAACAATCTAGAGTTGGAAGGTCCCTGATTTTTCTGCAGGAGGGATCCACCCAATTCCATGGTATCTAGCGCTCGTCCATCCCCATTCTACGTTTCCGGCCATCCACACCTCTATCCCGTTCACATAGTCCATGACTCCTTGCTTCATGGCAAGCCCACTTGAAATGATCTCATGCTTTGTCCGAGCGAAATCCTTCTCCAAATCCTCCAGCATGCTCGCAACCTTGCCGATTGCCTCGTTCAAGCCACACTTACGATTGCTGGCGAGAATGGGCACGGCGTTGAGGTAGTTTCCTGTCGCCCGCTCCTTCCTGAGCGACATCAAGTCATTGTGGAGCGCAATGTGGTGCGTCCCAATCTCCTCAACCTTGCGTATGAGAGGATGATCCAGCACGCCACGCTCCTCCAGCCTAAGTTGCAGTAAACCATCAATCAGAGCAAAGCAAGGAGCCACGCCAGATGTGATCTCTCTCAGCCAGAGGTACGTATCCAGGTTGGGAATGATTTGCTTGCGAAGCCAGCTCGATTCAATCTCAAACATGTCGAGCACCCTGGTCATAGCATCCACGAATCGGCCTGATTCATCCACTACATGGAGGGACAATTCTTCCAAGACCTCAGATAACATCTTCATTTGCCTCAGCAGGTCCGGATTTTTCACTGGAAGCATGGCCTCGTCAAATCTTCCCTTTAAAACCATCTTGTATGCAGTTGCCACATTCGTCATGTCCGACGAGGAGATCTCCGGGCTATCCAGAATGTCATCTGCAAGAAAGAACGAAGCGAAGAACTTTCCAACCGGAACAATCTATGGTCGGGTAAACATAAGCCGCGAGCAATCCAAGCCTGCTTTCTTGAACAAACACGGGTTTCTCGCTTCCAGGTTGCAACTTCAGAAACTCCGCGCACCACGCATCGATCTGAGACTCGGCCTTTGCATCGTACAGAGGATTCAGCACTGGAGAGACAAGGAGTTGACACACTGGTGGAATGGAATAGCTTTTCTCCGCTGCGAAAATGCTCGCAATGGATGAAACAGCCATGAAAGAAGAGTCCTAAGTGAACTCTGAAAGAGGGCCTTATATATAAAATTAGAAGCAAATTCAAACTAAACTCTATTTCTGCGAAAGCCTTAGGAAACATCCCAGGAGAACATCTATAGTATTTACACAATATTCAGGATATGTGATTACAAATCTCTTTTTACTCTTTGTTACCAAGTAATTCGTCCGCGAGCGCGTTTGCCTCTTCGTGCCTCCATTCTCTCGCTAGCTCCTGGATCACCGCTAAGCCTCGGCATTTGGCCTGCTTTTCCTCGAGAGCGTCATCTCTTCCAAAACTTCCAGGGCTTTGCCGAGCTCTTTCCCCTGGCACAGCCCCCTGATCAAGGCCACATAGATATCGTGGCGAGGAGGCGTGCCACTCTGCCTGATAGCCTCGAGAAGCTCCAGAGCTGCGCTCATTCTCCCTGTGGTACACAGCCCGTCCATCATCACCCGGTACGCGAACATATCCGCCTTGCAGTTCTCGTCGCGCTCCAGTCTCTCGAGCATCTTGCGAGCCTCTTCCAGGTCCCCAGTCCCACAGAAGCCACCGATCAAGCTCCTGTACGTGATAACGTTCGGCCGTTGCCAACCATCTCCTCCAGCAGCTTGTAAGCCACCGTCGGCTTCCCAGCTCTGCAGAACGCGTCAATGAGAGCGGTGTAGAGCGGTGAGAGCGGTGTCACCACACCACGTTGGGCTGGCATCCCCGCTTGGCCATTCGCTTGAGAACTCTGCACGCCTCCACCATTCTTCCGACTTTGCAGAAGCCGTCGACCAGGCTTGTGTAAGTATACACGTCCGGAGAGCAGTCACTGGCAACCATCTCTTCCAGAAGCCTCTCGGCGTCATCCACCAGTCCAGCATTACAGTATCCTTCCACTAGTGTCGAGAAAGTGACGACATCGGGGAGGATTGCCTGCTTGAGCGTGTCGTCAAACAACATGCAAGCCATGTCAATCCTCTCCAGCTTACAAAACCCGCCGATCAAGCAGCTGTACATGATAACATCCAGGTTGCAAAACTTGGCCTTCATGTCTCCAAACAGCCTGTTCGCTTCTGGCACCCTTCCCGTCTTGCAAAGTCCGTCAATAAGTGTGTTGTAGGTGATGATATCCGGAAGGCACTTGTTGCTCTCATCTCTTCCATCAGCAAAAGTGTGGGGTCTACCCTGTTGGCCATGCAAAAGCCATGGCTCAAGCTGTTGTAAGTCACCATGTTTGGCTCAATGCCCCGGACTATCACTCTCATGACTATCTGTGGAAGATGAAGCTAGGGCTGTGTTGTTTGCAAGTGGTTGTTGTTGGACTCACTGTGGTCACTAAAGCCAAAGTTCTAGATGGAGTTTTAACACCTCACAATATTGTGTGTATTAACTTTGCATTCCTCACACCACCAGTGATACTGCCGAGTTTCAATTTACATCCTAAAAAAGATTGTAGCTCCTCCACAAGCTTCTTTTGTTATTGGGTTTACTGCTGCACAAGTGCTCAATGCTCCTTAAGCTCATTGAGTGTTAACTCAATCACTATGGGCATCTTGTCCTTAACGACATATGCTAGTTCGACAATAGCACATATTTGGGCTTGGAAGCTTGGCTGAGAGTGAATGTTGTGATGCATGCCAAGCTCAAAGAGTATGTCCTTTTCCACCCCTAATGCATGGCCAAATGTTATTTTGCAAGTTTCATATTGGCACTTGAGGACTTTACATTGTATTTCAAATTTGAGTCCTTGGATGAATGCCAACACCATGGACTTCTCATTTGCTATCAGCCTCTATAGCAAGCGTGCACACCAATGCTTCTTAAATTGGATAGTGTAGTTACTAATACTCTTTTGTAGCATTTGCCAATATTAAAACAGTTCATATAGAGTTGTTGGTCAATTTTCTCAATTCCAAATTATTTGAAAAACTTATCAATCATTATAGAAAATGATCATCATTTATTTGGAAGCAAGAAAGATGCCCAATGTGCTGCTCTTGCTTTCAAGGATCTCAAGAATAATTTTTGGGACAAAGCATCTTTAGTGATTTTGTTGTATCGTAAGTAAGTTTGAGATTGATCAATGTTATTACGAGTCAAAACACTTGATCCAAGATAGAACTTTGAAAAGTCCATTGCCCTATAAAGAATATAAATAGTTGCCACTATTGGTATAATGTTTTGATTGTGCTCCTCTTTGGAATCTATTATAAACGATGAAGACTTACTTACTTAGAACACCATTTAGTAGTTAAGCTGACATAAAAGCCTTAAGAATTCCTCTAAGTTATATGTGTGTAAAGAGGAGTTTATATAGCAATAACACTTGACCAGTATAAATAAGTATCATACTTCTAAAATGCACTAAATACTGAAATTAGGTACTTGCTTTGATGCTAGTCTAGAGCTTAGAGAGCTCAATCACAAAGTTTTATGTTTGCTAGACATTCAAGGATTTTAAGATCACTCTTTATAACACTTATAACCTCTTATGCACTCACTATATACTAAATGTTGTTTTCCATTCAAGTAAAAGCTTCTCATCAAAAGAGATGATTAAAATAAGACATGAAATAGCTATATATACTCTAGGGCACTAAAATAAACCATAACATGATGCAAGGGATAAATATATAAGGAAAAAGTTTTAAACTTTAAAAACACCAAATGTTTTAAGAGATGAAGCCTTGAATTCCTAATAAATAACATAAAGCTAAAAAGAAAAGACACTTAAAATTTTTGTATACTACTCTAAAAATCATGAAACAAAACTCTAAAAACATTTATAACAGTCTTGTATGAAAGATAAACCTAAAAATCTCACTCAAATATACTTAAAACAACTCACTAAAATTAGCAAACACATATCTGGATGAAAAAATATAAAGATCTTACAGTTATTAACTCTTAAAGTTTTGTTCTAAGGCTCGCCAAAAAGCTTTATCCAAGATTTATTTAGCCATGTAAGAAAGATCCATCTATATTACTCAAAATTGCATGAGAATGCCCTAAACTTTTTTTACACTCAAAATAAAAGAACCCAAGTAAAAAGCTCTATAAATTGCTTGATCTTGGACTAAAACTCACATGCAAGGACCCTAGAGAAAGCTTATAAATAAATTTATCTGACAAGCCAAAGAAAGATTAAAATAGTTGAAAATCTATTATATATCAAACTCTTAAAATGACTATTATACATATCATGAATACAACTTGTTTGCATGTTATGCTCTGAGAACGGAATTAAAAAATTTGTGATATTAAAATAAAGTGCTCAACAAGATTTACAAACCCATTAGCTCCATTGCTTAATTCAATCAACAACCAAGGTGCAAAGAGGATAAAATAATTATTCTTAGTTTAAAAAAGAAGAAAATTCAAGAAATTCTTAAAATTTAGACATGGGACCTAGAATTTTATAGTTGGGCACACTCATTCTTAAGCACTAGTGCTAGTAGCAGTAATGCATCCTTACCTAACTAGCAAATCTAGACATTTTCTATAAACAGCTAATAGGACCCAACACAAGAAGCATGATAATAAGTATTTTTTGGTGGACACTTTATCACCACAATGCAAATATTTTGAGAATTCACCCTAAAATTAAAAAACAAAATGAGATTAAATCTCAAATCTTGGACTTAGTCTTAAACTCGATTTCGATCTTGGACTTAATTTCATCCAATGAACTATTTATCATTTCAATTATAGTTTCAAGGATCCTTTAACCTACAAGGAGTTGGTTCCTTATATATTCCTCTTTCTTTATACAGTGAAGGACTTTTAGATGACATTTCAAAACACTAAAACTAAGTGTAAATATTATGAATATTCTCCCCACCTCTAACTACGTGGCTAGATTGAGGTTTTAATAAACCATATAAAGTATCTAAGTAAATAGTGCCACCCATACATAGATTAGGAGTATTGAATTTAATCTTTCAAAGGAATTAGAGCTAACTTTTAAATATTTCATCAAGTCACTCTACTTATCCATCAATGTTTAATCTAGTTTTAGACTTTCTAATATTTGTATTATCACCCACTATATAGGTATAATGTTCCTTAGTCACACAAGGTTTTCCTAGAGTAATCCCCTTTTACTATTCCATAGAAATTTCCCAAATCCCCCAAAAATCTATGAAATGATTGCTTTGGGCTTTCATCCCACCTCTAGATATATTTATGCTTGAATATATTTAGCCTTATATATGTCTAACACTTTAAACATTATATTTTTTGGTCAAGTGAGATAGTTTTGACATTGTTCTATTTTGAGTATTAGAGTTTAGCACTTCAATTTTGACACTTTTATATATCAAGACACATTAGTCATTCTTTTATCCTTTTTAGAAACCCATTCATTGCTTGTTTAGTATTTGTTCCTCAAGTGCTTCTTTAAGATTTTCATTCCCACTTTTAACTTTTCAAGTTAAAGCTTTTAATCCAAATATTTTATGTTTATTAGACTTTTGCCTCAACCATTGCTATGTAGCACACCTTTTGGCTTCATTTTAGGACTTAAGGATTGGTGTCTTATATCTATTAATTATAATAATTTTGTAGATAAATGAATATAAATGATAAATGATAGAGATTTACAAATAATTTTATTAATAATTGAAATTATGGTAAAGTTTTGTTTCTTTTATATTTAAATTTTTTTGTATATTTCTCTTATAATTTATTTCATACAGTTCTGCTGAAAAAAATCCCAATTAAACCTTAAAATTATAGATAACAATAATATATATATATATATATATATGTATATATATGTATATATATATATATACATATATACATATATATACATATATATATATACATATATATATATATATACATATATATATATATATACATATATATATATATATATATACATATATATATATGTATATATGTATGTATGTATGTATATATATTTCAAGGTCTTATTCTTATTGTTATTTAACCAAGCCAACTGCAGTTTTTATTAATTTCCTCACCAGCTAGATTAAAAAAATAAATATTTACTATTAAAATTATCACTATATAACTTCACCTTTCATATTTATGAATACATTCCTCAACATAGTAGTTTATCTTTTCTATTTTCAGTAGTTAGAAATGAAAATTCTAAGTTTTTAGCTCTAACAATACTAAAGATACAAGAACTACATTCAAATTTTTGCCCTTTTGATGCACCAGAGCCAGGCATAGTTAGATATAATAGTATCACCCATTTGAAAGAAATTTACCTATTATTTATAGTCTTTTGATCAATAACAATATATCATGAATATATCCTAATCATGAGCATAAAGGAATTATTTATGGTAATTTGTTATTCTTCCCTTCCTCCAAGTTATAGTTGTATAAATTGCTTAAATTCCCTTAAAACTACTATAAACTCAATTGGTCCCAAATCAATTGGAGCAAGTATATGTGATATATCAGGATTTTGCTACTTTTAAAATGATATTTTTGAGGTTTGATAGAAATCAAATTTTGATCTAAACCTCATTTTTTATTTTTATATAGCTTATTTTAATCTGATTTAATATTTAATTTAGTCAAATCACAATACATGATTGAGCTTCGCATTAGTTCAGCTTGATTGATTTTCTGTTCTTCTTATTTCAGAGTTATCATTATAAATAAAATTTAACACTTCCCATTTGTTTTGATAGGATTCATCATTTTCTTAATCGGACATAACTTATATTAAGTGCGTTAGATTACTAAAGTCTCAAAAATTTCTTGGAAGTGTCACCAAATCATGTCACCACACCTAGTAGACATCACTTGACAGCCTATGTGAGTATCTACGATATCTATAAAACACTAATCAATCTGAAAACACTTGAGCAACGTCAGGTAAAAAACAGGTTACAGGTGCAGGCACTTTGAATTGATAGTGCTCAAGCATCTGATCAAGCTGGCACAAACCTGCAAGAGAGTCAATAAAAAACACAATGAGTTCATTAGGAGACTCCTTACTTGGACCTTGAAAGCACAAGGTCAGAGGCAGCAAAGAAAGTTTCACATTGAGCACTCACTGATGGGTGTCCTTGGACTGAAGAAACTGCTTTGCAGGAATGTGAAAAAAGAAAGATAAAGTCACATAACGTATCATTGTAATCAATGAATCCACTGATGTCTTTGGGGAATGTTAAGAGCAAACAATGGGATTAATAGAACATGCGTGGAACGTCATCCAGATCATTTGGCTTGGGCTACGTGAATGCTGCCACCAGCAAGCTGATCCAGTGGATGAAGCTGGAGTTTCATTCTCTAGAGCCATATGCTTGCTTGACACTGGAATAAAAGCCTGCTAAGTACAAGCGTCAGGTCAGATTATAGATAAGGCAAAGCTCAAATAGATTTTCGGCATGCTCGTTGTAAACGTCTACAACCACAAAGCAATGGACACTTCTATGTTGCTAAGAATAAAGTCCTAGATCCAGCCAGCCAAAGCATGAAATGCACTATAAGCAGCCAGCAAAACCAGGAAGGAGTAAAACTTGGCAGAGAATCTGAGACGTTTAGAGGTTGCTTGGAGCAGCGGACTCGGCATATACACTGGTGCCATAGCTTGTTTCCGCCACAGAAAGATATGAACGATAGGGCAAGCTAGCTTGATTGAAGCACTTGGCTACCAACCTAGTAAATGGAAAAATCCTGATCACCATGCTGGGCACTCTTTCCTCCATCGCAGGCCATAAAAGTGAATTTTATTCGTTAAAATTTAGATCTTATGATGTAATTCAAACCGTAAGAAATATATAACCAAAAATCTAAACCATTGAAACAACAAAGGCTTATTCCTCATTAGTACTTCACAGTTGTTTACATAGCAAGTACAACTTCTTTAGCTCCACACATATGAACGCTTTTACATAAGAAGATTAACACATTCCCTCGTTGTAGTGAGTCCAGCAATAGATGGTCCAAAAGAGCCACTGTAAGTATTGGATCCAACTGACCAAAGGGTGTCAGGGATAGTATCCTTAGTGTTTCCGTTACTTGAAAAACGATACCTTGTTTCCCTCCAAGCTGCATACTGCCCAATATGGTGTTGAAGGAAATAGCATCCCAAACAAGCATGAGGAAAAACATTGCATTCCAAGACACGTCTGGCATTTGATGAAAGAAACTGATTCGGAAAACTGAAGATGCTGCTGATAACATTGCATTCCAATATGATAAGGAACACTATCAAGCATCAGTTTCGACAGTGACAAATGCCTTGCACCAAAATTTTAGCATTCTAGGATACTTGATCCCTTTCCGGCATAGCATCAAAGGAAAGCTTAGCGGATCCAATTGCCCCGCTCGGCATAAGAAATTAGCTGAGCATTTGTAAGAAGCACTAGCAGGGGATTTCAAGGATAGCTTGTCCGCCTATGCCCAGCTACTGCTCATCAGATGCCGCAGACTCTGGCCAAGGACACGAGATCACGCTCCACACAAGATCTGGCTCGGGCATCACTTCAAACATCCCTCGCGCTGAACTTGGCGCCAATATGCCCCCTACAAGATTCTTTGAGCATCTATTTTAAGCTCTTTAACATGCCACAATTGGCCACAATGTCTCTGACCAAGGTCGTCCATGACCTTTGTGGATGTCCGTTTTGGGCATATGCCAAGAACAAGAGATCAAACAAGACCCCTCAAAAACCAAGAGAGCGTCGGCCGCATCTTCCATACATTTATATGAGGAGATTGGAGAGGAAGACCTGGGAGCCGGGAAGTGTTTGAGACAAGGAAGAACTCGCGAGTGAGTGGACTTGGCCTGTGGAGGACTTGATGGGACGAGCGGCTGCCAAATTCATGCTTGTTGCTGCTGGAGATACATGGTCTGCTGGGCGACCAGACAATTCACCAGCGGCAACTCTATGTCGGAGCAGTCACCCTTTTCCAAAACCATCTCTACTTTTCTCGTCACAACCACGACCTTGTTCTTCCTCGTTTCGAGCTCGTTGGCGACCACCGCGTGCATGCCATACTTGCAAAGCGACGAGCGTGCTTTCTTGAGGAGTATGTCCACGTCCGTTTCCAGCTGATACGAGAGAAAACTTTGCTCGATTGAGCTGCTATAGAGAAGAAGAGTAAAGAGGAAATGAAAAACCTTGAACGAGACGCAAAAGGCCTCCGGAGCCCAATGCTTTCGTAACAATCCAAGCATCTTTGGAACCGGAGCGAGCTGCATTGTCATCGAGCCGTCATCCGACCATCTGGATAGAGAAGATTATTTTTGAGATTTCCACCGAAAACAAAACGAGAGAAGACGAGAAGTTCTTACCATGGAGTTCCAGGGGATGTAGAAGTCGGAGACAGCCGCTGCAAAGTAAAACATAGCATGCCTGCCAACTGGTTTCATGGCAGCTCCAACAATCTCTAAAATCTGCCACGAAAAACCGTCATACAAACCAGAGTTTGCGCGGCACGTTTCTTACTTGGAGGTACTCAAAGAGCGTAGTGAACTTGAGCTTCAAGAGCTTCTTCTGGAGCACCGCCTGTTTTGATTCTTAAGAACTCAAGAAGAGAAACAAGAACTGAGCTTGCAGAATGATGTCCTGTGACTGCCCGAGTCACAGCATCAAACCATTTTTCTCGTGCTGCGAAGCGGGAGTTAAACTCTCGAAGAAATAAAAGGCAGATTTCGCTTACCCCGGATTGATCCATCCACAGGCTCGAGACATTCTTGTATGGGATTATCCGGCAGCGAGCGGCAAAATGGCTGCATAGATCCTCTAAAAAGTATTTCACGAAAGTAGCATCACCATTTGAAAAAGAAAAAAAGAGTGCTGCTTGCCTCCGATGAAGGAAAATCACAGCATAGTCACTTGCAAGGAAGTACCTTGCAAAAAAAAAAAAAAAAAATCATAAAAGAAGAATGAGTAGAAAAGAATAACGCACTCTGTGGAGGCTGCTCCTCGACTCCCCGAGCTGAAATTGTCAATGACCCTAACGCATCGTCGCTCCAAGGGCACGGTCGTGCCCCCGGATGTAACAATGGCAATGCGCGTCGTCTAGAATCACGCGATTCAGCTCCAAAATACGAGAAATGCTAGATAAGGATAAAACCTGGCCGATGGCCGATGCCGCCTTCCAGATATCCAAGAAGCGATTCGCTCGCGACCACATCGTCGCGGCATCGGAGAGGCGGGGCCGAATCGAAGAACGATTGAGCTTCTTCCTCCATTATGACCGATGAACCCTAAATTCGATAACCCGTTTTATAAAGGTAAAGTTTCGAAAAAGTAGTAAGAATCAAGAGCATGAGTTTGCGAGCAGCACGAGAACAGCTCCATCGCTGGGGCTCGAAAGCAAAGCTCGTTTCGTCACTCGAGCACAGTTTTTCCAGATTCTATCACCTCTGGAAGAACTTAGCATGGACGTCCAGTCCCACGAGTTGGGAAGAAAAGGCATGGTGTGCAAGCTCTTCCGATCCCGCTCGCCCCAGCATGTCCACGATGCAGCAGTAGTGTTGCTTCCTCGCCGCCACCCCGTAATCCAGACGCATGGAGTTGAAGTAGGAGTCACCGACATTGGGCTCGCCAACTTGGCTGCTCGCAATCAGCACCAAAGTGAAGCAGGAATCGTCGGGCATCTCCACTATCGTCATCTCTTCGAAGGAACCAAACACGTCGCTGGGGCTGCCGGGGCTTGGGCATATGCGGTCAGCATTGCACTGAAGGATTCAACGCTGCGCAGGGGCATCGTTTGGAACACCTTCCTTGCAAGAGAAAGATGCCCGTTTTGGGCATATGCCGAGAGCATGGCGTTCCACGACACCAAGTTCTTGTCTGATTTCCTGAAAGACTCTTCTAGCCCCGGTAAGATTCCCTTGCAAGGAGTGTGATGTTAGCAGCGTGTTCCAGGTTGATGCCGGTATTTTGTCGAGGATTTTCATGGTTTCGTCCACGCACTGGGTTAATCCCGTGGCTATGGCGTTCCAACACACGGCAATGCTGCAATTGCGCAAGTGCACGAGACGACATCGTGCTCCGGTCTCCCGTCACGGGCATCTGGAGTCTTCTCTGGAGCTCTTCCAGCGTGTGAGGAATCTCTCGACTTGCACGGCAATCCTTTCCGGCTACGTCCACTGCGGCCTCCTGAAAGAGTCGGAGCGCTTCTTTCACGATCAGATGCCGCAGCACGATCTTGTCTCCGTCACAACGCTGCTCGTCGCCTATACCCAAAGCCAACGCCTTGAGGAAGCCAGCTGCCTCTTTGATTCTCTTCCATACGTAATCATCTCTTCAAAAGTGCTTTCTACATCCGCGAGCTGAGATAAAGCCCCCAGCATCGTCTTCCACGAGACCAAGTTGCGAGCAGGCATTTTACTAAAGACTACCTTGGCAGAATCAAGATGCCCATCACAGTGCGCTTCATCAAAGTGCCCGTTTTTGCAGCAGGCAACCAGCAAAAGATCCCAGGTGAACTTGTCCCTCTTGGCCATACCATGGAAGATCTGAGCTGCGTGTTTGATGTTGATACCACATCTACTGTGCATTTCAATTTGCTTGTTCAGGACGAAAACACTGCTTAAATATGAATTTCTAAAACACTCCATGAGAAAAATTATTAATTACTATTTGATAGAACTGAGTTGGAAGGTCCCTGATTTTTCTGCAGGAGGGATCCACCCAATTCCATGGTATCTAGCGCTCGTCCATCCCCATTCTACGTTTCCGGCCATCCACACCTCTATCCCGTTCACATAGTCCATGACTCCTTGCTTCATGGCAAGCCCATTTGAAATGATCTCATGCTTTGTCTGGGAGAAATCCTTCTCCAAATCCTCCACCATGCTCGCAACCTTGCCGATTGCCTCGTTCAAGCCACACTTACAATTGCTGGCGAGAATGGGCACGGCGTTGAGGTAGTTTCCTCTCGCCCACTCCTTCCTGAGAGAGATCAAGTCATTGTGGAGCGCAATGTGGTGCGTCCCAATCTCCTCAACCTTGCGTATGAGAGGATGATCCAGCACGCCACGCTCCTCCAGCCTAAGTTGCAGTAAGCCATCAATCAGAGCAAAGCAAGGAGCCACACCAGATGTGATCTCTCTCAGCCAGAGGTACGTATCCAGGTTGGGAATGATTTGCTTGCGATGCCAGCTCGATTCAATCTCAAACATGTCGAGCACCTTGGTCATAGCATCCACGAATCGGCCTGATTCATCCACTATATGGAGGGACAGTTCTTCCAAAACCTCAGCTAACATCTTCATTTGCCTCAGCAGGTCCGGATTTTTCACTGGAAGCGTGGCCTCGTCAAATCTTCCCTTGAAAACCATCTTGTATGCAGTTGCCACATATCTCATGTCTGACGAGGAGATCTCCGGGCTATCCAGAATGTCATCTGCAAGAAAGAACCAAGCGAAGAACTTTGCAACCGGAATCATCTTCTCGTATGGAATGCTGGGGTAAACATAAGCCGCGAGCAATCCAAGCCTGCTTTCTTGAACAAACATAGCTTTCTCGCTTCCAGGTTGCAACTTCAGAAACTCCGCGCACCACGCATCGATCTGAGCGTCGGCCTTTGCATCGTACAGCGGATTCAACACTGGAGAGGCAAGGAGTTTACACACTGGTGGAATGGAATAGCTTTTCTCTGCTGCGAAAATGCTCGCAATGGATGGAAGAGCCATGAAGGAAGAGTTCCTAAGTGAATTTTCAACATTGAAAGAGGGCCCTTATAAATAAAATTAGAAGCAAATTCAAACTAAGTAGTTGAATGGTTGTTGATTTCTGCGAAAAACCTTAGGAAACATCCCAGATAGTGTTCACACAATGTGGATTTGTGATTACAAATCTTGTTTTACTGGCTTTGTTACCAAGTAATTCGTCTGAGAGTGCATTTGCCTTTTCGTGTCTCCCTTCTCTCGCTAGCTCCTGGATCACCGCCTCATAAACCTTGGCATTTGGCCTGCCTTTCCTCGAGAGCGTCATCTCCCCCCTGATCAATGCCACGTAGATATCGTGGCGAGGAGGCGTGCCACTCTGCTTGATGGCCTCGAGAAGCTCCAGAGCTGCGCTCATTCTCCCGGTTCTACACAGCCCGTCCATCATCACCCGGTACGCGAACATATCCGCCTTGCAGTTCTCGTTGCGCTCCAGTCTCTCGAGCATCTTGTGAGCCTCTTCCAGGTCCCCAGTCCCACAGAAGCCACCGATCAAGCTCCTGTACGTGATAGCGTTCGGCTGGACGCCGTTGCCAACCATCTCCTCCAGCAGCTTGTAAGCCACCGTCGGCTTCCCAGCGCTGCAGAACGCGTCAATGAGAGCGGTGTAAATCACCACGTTGGGCTGGCATTCCCCTTTGGCCATTCGCTTGAGAACTCTGTGCGCCTCCACCATTCTTTTGACTTTGCAGAAGCCGTCGACCAGGCTTGTGTACGTATACACGTCCGGAGAGCAGTCACTGGCAACGATCTCTTCCAGAAGCCTTTCGGCATCATCCACCAGTCCAGCATTACAGTATCCTTCCACTAGTGTCGGGAATGTGACGACGTCGGGGAGGGCTGCCTGCTTGAGCATGTCATCAAACAACGTGCAAGCCATGTTGATCCTATCCAGCTTACAAAACCCACCAATCAAGCAGCTGTACGTGATAACATCTGGGTTGCAAAACTTGGCTTTCATTTCTCCAAACAGCCTGTTCACTTCTGGCACCCTTCCTGTCTTGCAAAGGCCGTCAATAAGTGTGTTGTAGGTGTTGATATCTGGAAGGCACCCTGTTGCTGTCATCTCTTCCATCAACAAAAGTGTGGAGTCTACCCCGTTGGTCATGCAAAAGCCATGGATCAAGCTGTTGTAAGTCACCATGTTTGGCTCAATGCCCCAGATTGTCATTCTCATGATAATCTATGGAGGATGAAGTTAAGGTTCTGTTGTTTGCAAGTGGTTGTTGTTGAACTCACTGTGGTCACTAAAGCCAAAGTTTTAGATGGAGTTCCAACATTTTGCAATGTTGTGTGTATTAACTTTATATTCCTCACACCACTAGTGATGCCACCAAGTTTCAATCTACGTCATAAGAGATTGTAGCTCCTCCACAAGCTTCTCTTGCTATTGAGTCTGCTGTTGCAAAAGTACTCAATGCTCCTTAAACTCATTGATTGCCAACTCAATCACTATAAGCATCTTGTTTTTAACAACATGTGGTAGCTTGGGAATGGCACACATTTGGGCCTAGAAGCCTGGTTAAGAGTGGATGTCATGGTGCATGCCAAGCTCAAAGAGCATGTCCTTTAATGCATAGCTAAATATTAGTTTGTAAGTTTCATGTTGTGTTAGCGCACCTAAATTTGGAGTTGAACTCCAAGCCTATTGCACTACAAAATGAGGGTCTGGTACAATCTTACGAGCACCAACTCCCCGTATCTAGCACTTGCATGCAAAATGGTGTCAAATGGTGTCTGGCATAATTTTAGCATACTGGTGGCCTAACGCAAGGAAGAGTGTACCCCACCAACTAGAGCAGCGTGGAGCTTGGGCTTAAACCCAAGCCGAATGCAGAACAAGGAGCGATACAGTCCAGTGGGAGCCAAAAAATATCTCAAGTGGTCGGACATGCATTTCAACCACTATCCTTACTGGAACCCTCTATAGCCCCCCCCCCCTTGCTTTCACCCCAAGCCTCCTTTAGTACTAGGAGTTAGTCTTTGGGATAAGTTAAAAATTTACTAAATATGGAATGTCCTTAGATTGCGAATTTGAACACAAGACGAACACCATTGTGTATAGGCCAATCTCTACAATCCGTAGATATGCAAAATGAGTGAATCTAGACACTTTCCATAAATAGCATTTGGGACCGAAATGAGACTAACACAAAGGGTATAATAGCGAGGGTGTTTGGCAAACACGGTAAGCTATCATCTAGTGATATTGAGGGACTAGTCTCAATATGCGAGGGTTCTTGCTAAGACAAAACAAAAGAGAACTAACAAGCCATGCCAAGTATGTTTGGCTAAATAGAAACTTAAGAATTCCTTCCTTATGCTCATCCGGCCAAGCACAAATGCTAAGTCCAATTTATTAACATTTGGACAAGAGGGGCTAATAAAGGGAATCAGCAGTACCAACCTCCTGCCATCGTGGCAGTAAAGAAAGAGTGTCTATAAGGACTGACCGATAAATATCTTTCGATACCTGAAGTCATATTCGCGACACTCTTCCCCCCTTGGGGAAGATCAACGTCCTTGTCGATGCATACCCAAGTCTAGCAAACCGTCAAGGAAACAATTGCGAAAGTTAATGGAAAGCACACTATATGGGAAACACACTGACTTAAATGAGTTATGGAACGACTTCTCCTCTACATCCAAAGATGTTAAGACTCAGACACCCTCCAGCCGTCACCGACAAGGAAATGACTAATGGAGTTAGCCACCTTTGCTGCTTTGAGTACCACTCGACTTACAAAGGAATGATACATCCCTACCCACAAAGACATAAGGAGTAGGCTGTAAGCCACAAATTTTTCCTTTTCAATTTACCAGCTTACTTTGTCTATCTGTCCAACACTGCCTTGACTTTTGCTAAGTTCTCTAAGTTGCCTTCGACTCGGTCCCACCCGATGAACTCTTTGTCATTTTGGTCGTGTTTTTGGGGATCCTTTAGGATGTCGTCTATATTGACAACATCCTGATCTATAGCGAAACGCTAGAGGAGCATGCTAAACACTTGACGAAGGTGTTTGAGAAACTAAGGGAACATCAGCTGTATGCTAAAGAGAGCAAATGTGACTTTGCTCAACAAGAGGTAAAATTTCTCGGGCATGTGGTGGGCAAGGACGGGCTCAAGGTGGACTCTGAGAAGGTCCAAGCGATCTAGGATTGGGAGTGACCATTGAATGTACACAAGTTAAGGGCATTCTTGGGGCTATGCAACTACTATCGAAAGTTTATCAGACACTATTCGAGAGTAGCCCTACCCTTAACGGACCAAACAGGAAAAGGAAAGATGGTATGGACAGCAGAATGCGAGGCGGCATTCATCCACCTCAAGGGGAAGTTGAGGAAGGCTCCCGTGTTGGTGTTACCAGACTTTGGTAAGGACTTTGAGGTAGAAACAGATGCTTCAGACTTTGCGTTGGGCACAGTTTTGAAGCAAGACAACCATCCAATAGTGTTCTTATCGAAGAAGTTGGACAAGGCTCAACAAAAGTGGCCTGCCCATGAGAAGGGTGGTCAAGGTGCTCAAGGAGTGGCGACACTACCTTGGGAGACACTTCAAAGTTTACATAGACAATATGGCAACGAAACACTTCTTGTCACAACCCAACTTGAGGGGAAAACAAGGTCGGTGGGCCAATGCTTTGGCCGAGTTTGATTGCGAGATTCTGTACAAGTCTGGGAAGAGCAACATCGTGGCAGATGCGCTAAGTCAAAAAGCGAGTTTGAAGTTGGTGATATCCAATGCAACAACAACCTTTTGGGATGATGTGTGGACCGCATACGAGAACGATGATCTAGCATAAGAAGTGTTGCTGAGGAATCTAGAGGCACGGGAAGCTCACCAGAGAGGTGAGCTGCCAACAGAAGAGAAAACGGGCTATGCAAAATGCAACCGACTCATATATTACAAGCAAACGAGGGTGTATGTTCTAGAAGGGGAACTAAGGAAGGTAGCCTTAAAAGAGTGTCATGACGGACCTCTTGTGGGACACGGCGGCGTGCCCAAGACAATGGGCTTACTCAAGAGGAAGTACCACTGGCCAGATATGGCTAAGGATGTCCAAGACTATGTAAAGACAAGTCCAACATGTCAGCAAGTCAAAACTATGACTAAGGCTAGTGGGGGTTTGTTACAAAGCATCCCAATTCCAGATCGTCTGTGGAAATGTCTTACGATGGACTTCATCACGGGACTCCCCCCAAGCGAGGGTTTCGATGCGATATTCGTGGTGGTGGATTGATTTTCGAAGATGGCACATTTCATACCCACCACAACAGAAGTGGATGCGGAAGGTGTGGCGAAGCTGTTCTTCGAACAAGTGGTTTGAGTGCGGGGAAGGCCGAAAGAGATCATCTCAGATCGAGATAAGATCTTCACTAGTAGGTTCTGGAGGACTCTCCTGGAATAGTATTGCACCAAGTTGAAATTCAGCACAGCCTATCACCCATAGACAGGTAATGTGTGTTAAGTCAAGTTTGGTGGCACTAACACTTCTTGACAGACGGACAAACGGAAAGGGTGAATAGGCAGCTGGAGGATTATTTGCGATGCTATGTTTCGGGAGACCAGACCGATTGGGTAAGTCATTTGGGACTTGCGGAAATGTGTTATAACAACTCACCACATTCGAGCATCGGGGTGAGTCCATGGGAAGTCATCAATGGGCGAGCTATTAAAGGTCCTGTGGAACTCGGCATGGCCGAGTATCATGGAGAATTACCCGCAGTGGAGGCATTCATGGCGGAAAGACTCAACATTTGGAATCTAGTGAGGGATTCCTTGGAACGGGTTCAACAAAGGCAAACTAAGTACGCGAACCAAAAGCGTTGGGATGTAGAGTTCCAAACTGGGGAGAAGGTGTGGCTGAACACCAAGAACTTCAGGCTACCAAGTGGGATCAGCCGGAAGTTGACCCAAAGGTAAAAATGCATGTATTCCTGTAAATGAATTGATCTTGAGTTCCTTAAATAGGTTCGCGGGGCCTTATGAGATTGAGGCTTGAATTGGTAAAGTGGCCTACCGTCTCCGACTTTCTCAAGAGATGAGGAAGATGCATCCTGTGTTCCATGTGAACTTACTCAAGCCGTATTTTGAGGATCCGCTTTGCAAGGACCAAGTAAAACCTTTATTTGAGGTTATCCAAGGGGAAGAGGAATACGAAATCGAGGCCATCCTCAATGCGCGTAAGAGCAAGTGACAAGGATGCAAGGTGAGAGAATTCCACATAAAGTGGAAAGGATTTCTACACTGTGAAGCAACATGGGAACCGGAGGAGAACCTAGCGAACGCGCGAGATCTAGTGAAGGAATTTCTGCAAACTTAAGCAGAACTCTATGTACTTATGCAAAGTTCAATTAAAGTATCAATTTGTGAAGTTGAGTAATGGCATATGTTGGGGCCTAAAGGTGTGCCGAAGGTAAGCTAATTAGCATGGGTTAGCTAGGTCGACCAAGCATAGGGAACTACACCTGACTCCCTGCAGGGATGTTGAATCCGTAGACGTATTCTACGGAGGTTGGGTTCAAGTCCCAACCCCCTAGTAAATCAAGGCTAGGTTCAAGTCCCGACCCCATACTAGGGCGTGGTGAAGTGAGGAGTATAGGGATACCTATATTCCGTTGTCATGGGCTCTTGGCCGGGGAGGCTAACTTAGGCACACTGCTAAGTCGGGGGATACCCCCGGAGACATGGTCAACAAGTTATAGGATACAAGTTATAGGATAAAAAAGAGACATTCAATGTGGGCATTGAACTTCTTTTATGGGTGGTGGAGTTGTAAGGAACCAACCTGCCAAGGTCTCATAGGCTAAAGGATCCCCGAAAGCATAACCAAAATGACAATTGGATGGGACCGAGTCGAAGATCGAGTTGAAGACCAACTCTGAGACCGAGTTCGAGATAGAGTTTGGGATCGAGTCCGAGGCCGAAACGGAGACTGAGTTCGAGACCGAGTTCGAGACAGAGTCCGAGATCCAAATTGGGTCTGAGACTGAGAATCTGATCCTT